CCCATATTCTATCAGAGGTCATGGAGGACAAGCTCAGAACAGCTCCTCAAGCCACTGCTGTATTCTATCAGAGAAAACAAAGCACATTCTCAAGACAGCTCCCCAAGTCAATCCCAAATGCTATCAGGAGACATTCTCAAGAGAGATCCTCAAGTCAATCCCATATTCTATCAGATAACAACTCCTCAAATACCCTTCCATATTCTATCAGAGGATACAAAGGACATGCTCAAGATAACTCATCAAGTCAATCCCATGTTCTATCAGAGGACAGTCTCAAGAAAGTTCCTCAAGTCACTTCCATATTCTATCAGAGGACACAGAGGATAGTCTCAAGACAACTTTTCAAGTCACTTCCATATTTTTTTAGAGGCTACAGAGGACAATCTCAGTACAGCAACTTAAGTCAATCCCATATTCTACAAGGGGACAAAGAAGACAATCTCAGGACAGCTACTGAAGTCAACCCCAAGTGGACAATGAGGACACTCTCATTCTGTCTGAGGACACAAAAGAACATTCTCTAGGCAGTTCCTCAAGTCACTTCCATATTCCATCACCCAAGTCACCAGGGTTCCTCTCAATAATAGTCTGACCCATTCACTTCCTTTATGCTTACTTCTCAGACAGACTCATTCATTCTGAAACATTCATTTTGCTCTCTGCAGCCACTTGTTAACTTTCTTCTAATCAGTACCTTAAATCGATTACTTTGATAATGCTATAAAATAAAGTAATATCCAGATGTCAAAAGAAGTCAAATTATTAAGATTTATTGATATTTAATTGGCAATTCACAGAAACATTTACAAAATTGTTGCTGTATAAATCGGAATTTGCTCAGAACACTGTTAGATATTGTCCAGCCTTCCAGTTATACATTCATTCCAGGACATTGAATGCAAGGCACTCTCTCTCTCCCTTTGTCAATCAATGTTATCTAGTAAAGATCAGGTGGTGTAGAATGACCGTAATCCTCCAGTGGGAGTATTGACAAAATTCCCGGGGGGAACATGGCCAAAGATACCATCTTGTTTGTCAATATGTGTCTACTAGTGCTAAGCTCCTCGAAACATTCCCGAAATTGGTGACTTATGGGATTACTAATTTAATGATGACGGATGGCCTGTGGGGTGGGAAGCATGGTATCTTCATTTCTGCTCCCCCCTGGAATTTGGTTAATACTGCCATTGGATGATCAGAGTAGAGGCATTCTACGCTACCTGATTCTAACTGGATAATATGATTGACAAGGAGAGAATGTCTCTTGGAATCGATGTCCTGGAGTTGATGTATAACTAAACAGCTGGATAATATCTAATAGTGTTCTGAGCAACTGATGATTCACATGGCAAGGATTTTGGTCTGGTACTACTTGCCAGGTAAATGTCAATTATGCTTTCCATTAATTTTACTTCCTCTCAACATCTGGGCATCACTTTAATAGCATCACTTAAGAAATCGATATGGATTAAGGTACGGATTAGAGGAGGGTTAACAGGTTGATGCAGAGAACGGAATGAATGAGTCAGCCAGAGTCTGTTTCCTAAGTAGTAAGGATAAGTTGAGATTGTCCTTTGTGTCCTCTGATACAATATGGAAGTGACTTGAGGAACTGCATTGAGATTGTCCTCTGATACAACATGGAAGGGATTTGGGAGCGCCATTGAGATTGTGCACTGTGTCCTCTCATAGAATATGGAAGTGATTTGAGTAACTGCATTGAGATTGTCCTCTGATACAACATGGAAGTGATTTGAGGAGCTGCATTGAGATTGTCTTCTGTGTTCCGTGATACAATAAGGAAGTGACTTGAGGAGCTGCACTGAGATTGTCCTATGTGATCTCTTAAAGAATATGGAAGGCACTTGAGAAGCTTCCTTGTCATTGTCCTCTGAAAAAATATGGAAGGGATTTGGGAGCTGGCATGAGATTCTATCAGGGGACATTGAGGACAACGTGGAAGTGACTTGAGGAGCTGCATTAAGATTGTCCTCTGTGTCCTCTGAAAGAATATGGAAGTGCCTTGAGGAACTGCATTGAGATTGTCCTGTGTGATTTCTGAAAGAACAGATTAAGGTACGGATTAGAGGAGGTTTAACAGGTTGATGCAGAGAGCGGAATGAATGAGTCAGCCAGAGTCTGTTTCCTAAGTAGTAAGGATAAGTTGAGATTGTCCTTTGTGTCCTCTGATACAATATGGAAGTGACTTGAGGAACTGCATTGAGATTGTCCTCTGATACAACATGGAAGGGATTTGGGAGCTCCATTGAGATTGTCCAACGTGTCCTCTCATAGAATATGGAAGTGATTTGAGGAACTGCATTGAGATTGTCCTCTGATACAACATGGAAGTGACTTGAGGAGCTGCACTGAGATTGTCCTATGTGATCTCTTAAAGAATATGGAAGTGCCTTGAGGAACTGCATTGAGATTGTCCTGTGTGATTTCTGAAAGAATATATAGAAGGGATTTGGGAGCTGACTTGAGATTGTCCTCAGTGTCCTCTGATACAATATGGAAGTGACTTGAGGAGCTGCATTAGGATTGTCCTCTGTGTCCTCTTATAGAATATAGAAGAGACTGGATGAGTTATCATGTGATTATTCTCTGTGTCCCCTGGAAGAACATGGAAGGGACTTGAAAGGTGGCAAGAGATTGTCTTATGTGTCCTCTGATAGTATATGGATGTGACTTCAGGAGCTGCATTAAGATTGTCCTCTGAAAAAACATGGAAGGGACTTGAAAGGTAGCTTGAGATTGTCCTCTGTGTCGTCTGATAGAATATGGAAGTGACTTGAAGAGCCGCATTGAGATTGTCCTCTGTGTCCTCCTATAGAACATGGAAGTGACTTGAGGAGCCACATTGAGATTGTCCTCCTATAGAACATGGAAGTGACTTGAGGAGCCTCATTGAGATTGTCCTCTGTGTCCTCTTATAGAACATGGAAGTGACTTGAGAAGCTCTCTTGTGCTTGCCCTCCATGTCCTGTGACAGAATATTGGATTGACTCCACAAGCTGTCCTGAGGCCCTCCTCCAACAGAATGTGGATGTGACGTAAAAGAAGGAATTAGACACAAGGTAGAATAATTCTCGATCTACTTAAGAAAACAATCTGGTTCTGGTTCTATTGGCCGGGAAGCCTGCTCCATGCTGATTGGCTGGGCAGCCGGCTTCCCGGCCAATCAGCATGGAGCTGGCCAAACAGCATGGAGCCGGCTTCCCGGGCATTCGAGAAGCCGGGCGCAGGTAATGACACGCCGTCCGGGTTCCTGATTGCCCGGGAAGCCGGCTCCATGCTACCGGAAGTACCGAAAGATAAATATCGGTACTCGTACTGGATACCAACAAGCCGGTATCGGTGCATCCCTAATGTAAATACTTACAACCAAAAGCTCCTCAAACCCCCGTAATGTATCAAGGAGGTTCCTAATGCAGCCATATTCCCTCCAGTATAAAGCAAGTTGGTCGTATTCATTGCTTTCTTTGCAGGAGATGCTCAATTCTAAGAATAGGGTCGCTTTAAATACATGACGTGGGATGTCTTTTTTTTAGGTGGGGTTCAAATATTTGGCACCGGGGGAAGTTCCACGGTCTGCTTCTGCTGCACATGTACAGTATATAAAACATGTGGATCATTTCCTAATTTTTTGGAAGCAATCTCAGCTTTCCTGGGCGCATACTTGGAATCTTTCAGGTTAGGTTACATGTAAAAAAAACAGATTACTCATCCGTACCTCATGGAGCCAGAGGAGGCGGATGTCATCGTGCCGTGTAGCTGCATGCATGTCATGATATTCCTCTGCCGCTATGGACAAGATGCGACACGTCTTGTAGTGTGAACAGCGTGCATGGAAGGCAGGAGGAAAATCCGACGCCTACAAGACTTTAAAAAACATTTCCTAAAAGAGTGAACCATCGGTACTTAGTGTCATGTGTGATGTTAGTCTCGGCGGAAAGA